TTCTTTGTGATGACTTATATAAGCTTAAACTTGATAACCTTTTCTTTGAGACTTCGATGACTTTACATCATAATATTGGTACTAAATGTGATTTTATGAATAAAAGTTCAACTTATTTGTGGCATAAACGTTTGGGTCATATATCCGAAGAAAAAATTGAAATATTAGTAAAGAATTAGTAAAGAATGAAATCTTTAATAAATTGGATTTTACTTATCTTGACATCTATGTGAATTATATTAAAGAAAAATACACAAATCACACAGTTAAGAAAGCTGTCACAAGAAGCACACAGCTCCTTGAAACCATACACATTGATATTTGTGGACTTTTTTATGTTCCATCTTTTAGTGGAGAGAAATATTTTATCACTTTTATTGATGATTTTTCATGTTATGGGTATGTCTACTTATTGCTTCAAAAATTTAAAGTTATAGATGCCTTAAAGGTGTATATAACTGAGGTTGAAAGACAATTAGACAGAAAAGTGAAAATTATCAGGTCTGATAGAGGTGGTGAATATTATGAAACTTACAATGAATCTGGATAATGTCCATATCCATTTGCTAAATTTCTTCAAACTAATGACATATGTGCTCAATACTTTATGTCAGAAACACCACAACAAAATGATGTTGCAGAAAGGCAAAATCGTACTCTATGTAAATGGTTAGGAGCATGATGAGTAATTCCTCTTTACTCTTATCATTGTGGATACATGCTTTAAAGACTGCTGCATATTTGTTAAATAGGATTCCTAGTAAGGCAGTTCCAAAGACTCCTTTTGAACTGTGGACATAAAGGAAACCTACTTTAAGGCACCTGCATGTTTGGGGTTGCTCATCAGAAATAAGGTTATATAATCCACATGAAAAGATTTTGGACTCAAGAACAACTAATGGTTTCTTCATTGGTTATCCAGAAAAATCTAAAGGGTATAAATTTTATTGTCCTAACCACATTACAAGAATTATTAAAGTTGGAAATGCAAAGTTCATTGAGAATGGTGAAGTTAGTGGGAGTTTGAAATCACATAAAGTGGAGATCCAAGAAATTAGGGTTCAAGTTCCTTCACCCAAATTTTTTTCTCAAGTTGTTATTCTGAACAGTTTGACAACTTACAAGAACAATAAATATATGATCAAATACCCCACAAATGAAACTGTAAATGGGTCTTTAAGACTAAGCGTGACTCGAATGACAATATTAAACGATTTAAAGCTAGACTTTTTGCCAAATGTTTCACTCAGAAAGATGGCATCGACTATAAAGAAATATTTTATCTAATTTCTAAGAAAGATTCATTTAGAATTATCCTGACACTAGTAGCTCATTATGATTTGGAGTTACACCAAATGGATGTGAAAACTGCCTTTCTGAATGGGAATTTAGATGAAGAGGTCTATATGAGTCAACCTGAAGGATTTTTGGTTGAAAGAAAGGAACACATGATGTGTAAATTAAAGAAATCATTATATTGGCTTAAGCAAGCTTCCCAACAATGATATCTTAAGTTCAATGATATCATCACGTCCTTTGGATTTAAAGAAAACACTGTTGATCGGTGTATATATCTAAAGGCCAGTAGGAGCAAAATCATATATCTCATTTTGTATATTGACGACATCTTGTTGGCTACTAAAAATCTTGACTTAGTATATGAAACCAAGAACTTTCTCTCTAAGAACTTTAAAATGAAAGATATGAGTGAGACATCTTATGTGATTGGAATTGAAGTATTTGATGATAGATCACAAGGTTTGTTAGGATTGTCTCAGAAAAAAATATATTGAAAGAATTATTAAGAGATTCAATATGAAAGGGTGCTCAACAAGTGTTGCTCCAATTCAAAAAGGAGATAAATTCAGCCTTATGCAGTGTCCAAAGAATGATTTGGAGTGTCCAAATAATGATTTGAAATGTAAACAAATGGAAGAAATTTCTTTTACATCTATTGTTGAAAGCTTAATGTGTGTTCAACTTGTATCAGACCAGACATTAGCTTTGTTGTCGGGATACTGGACAGGTATCAAAGTAATCCAGGAATAGATAATTGGAAAGCTGTAAAGAAAGTTTTGAGGTATCTACAAGGAACAAATGACAACAAGCTCACTTATAGAAGATCTAAAGATCTTGATGTGATAGGATATCCAGATTCAGATTTTGTAGGGTGTGCTAATACTAGAAAATCAACATTTGACTATTTGTTGCTTTTGGCTGAAGGAACAATCTCATGGAAAAATGTGAAGCAGATTATCACAACAGCTTCCACTGTGGAAGCTGAATTTGTGTCTTGCTTAGAAACTACAATTCAGGGTTTATGATTGCGGAATTTTATTTTAGGACTTGAAATTGTCGAAAGATTTGCCAAATCACTGAAAATTTATTGTGATAACTCCGCAACAATCATCTTTTCGAAAAACGACAAGTATTCCAAAGGTGCTAAACACATTGAATTAAAATATCTTATCGTTAAGTAAGAAGTTCAGAAACATAGGATGTCAAGTGAGCATATTAGCACCAATCTCATGATTGCAGATCATTTAACGAAAGGGTTGCCACCGAAGACATTTTAACGAATATGTCTTGAAAATAGGCATTACCAAAACCCTTTATTAGTTTTATGTTATTTATATTTTGACACTTTGGGCCCAATTTTACTTATTTTTTATATTTGTAAATCTTGTTTTTATCGTTCGTGAGCACTTTATGTTGCATGATGTTCAACAAGATTTATTTTTTAATAGACATTATGAGACCAAGATATTAATTCTCATTATGCTAAGTATGTAAATGATATTGTGATACATGGAAGGGACTGTGTCGATAAATTGATGCACAACCGCCATGATTCATATTAATTTCATATTTATTAAATAATTTAAGATTTAACAAATATGAAGAAGAATTTATCTTACATTTTGTGCAGTATGCTATGCGCTATTAAAATTAAGTGAGTCAAATGAGAGAATGTTATATTTTATTTATGACTCACATTTATTTTAATAACATATGATATTTATTTTGATAACTTAAGTTATTTATTTTCTTAACTCATAACGTATGTCATAAATTATGACAACTTATGATATTTATTTAGATAAATTAAGTTATTAATCTTCTTAACTCATAACTTATGATATTTATTTTTGTAACTCATGATAACTTAAGTTATTAATTATCTTAACTCATAATTTTTGTCATAACTTATGATAAATTATGATATTAATTTTATAACTCGTGTAATCCCTAAAATGAATAAGGTTTATTAACTTATGTCATTGATTTTAATAATAAAAAAAATCAATTAATTTATTAAATTATCATAAATTCTATTGGTTTGTAACCCCCTTGATGGATGGTGGTTAAATAGAGCATAATTTAGAGAAAATGCCATCTCTCTTCCTAACACATCCCGTACATTTTACTCAATCAGAAAGTACGGAAAGTTTCAAGGGATTAGAGAGAGAAATTTCATCTCTTCAAGATCAAATTTCTTCAAGATAAAATTTTATCATCATGAATACATGTATGTGTTACTTTATTATGAATATGTAAAATCTTGAAATTAAAATATCTTGGCTATTATGTATTTTTTTGAAATTTGTGTCATAAAGTTTAAACATAAATTTCTAACAAAATAAACCAAGAAGCACCTGATAAAACCATCTCAAGATTTTTTAAACAGTTAAACCTGAATAAAAAGAATCCATCACTGAGAGAAATAAGATTAACCATATCTTTCAAGTTTTAAGTTTTTTTAATAGCTTTCAGAAGATTGTCATAAAAAGAATGGTTACCCAATTAATATTCGATAAGAGCCAAACTCCACTATTTTGAGCCCTCATCAATCTCATCATTAGATGATGAAACATTATCATATGCATGGAGCTATTTTGGATATGTAATTCCTTGACCAACAATGCAAGAAGAGATTTGAGCATTTAACCCATATTGGAACATATTTAAAATCCTCTTTAATCGGTTAAAAATTATGTGTCCAACTTTCGAACATAAAAGATTTCACATAAATAAATTAAGAGCACTCGATGAAACCATCTCAAGCTCTTCTAAACAATTAAGCTTAAAGGAAAAGAATCCCTCACTGAGAGAGAAAATCAACTGAACCGTTAAATTTCTAAATCCTTTTAATAGTTTGCAAAAACTTTTCATAAAAAAAGACATTACCTAAAACATATCTGACAAGAACTAAATTTCATTGCCTCGAGCTCTCATCAATCTTTTCTTCAAACATTCCCAATTTAAAAGCTAGTGAAAACAAATACGAGGATGGGATGAAGAAGAAGAGATAAGGGGAAAAATAGAAATTTTCATGATAGAAAAATAGGACATAGCCCCGGAAAGATTAACAAAAAACATGAAGAGAAGAAAGTGAAATCCTTGATTTTTCTTTAGTAAAGAATATTTAAAAAGATGAACTCTCCAAACCCAAGAAGAGCTCAAGAGTAGCCATCTCCAAATTTATATTGAATTTAAATTTAAATTTAATGATGTGAATCATTGTAAGCCAAAATCTCTCAGTAAATAAATAAATAGTCGTGCTGAACAAAACTACGAGATAAATAAACCTTTTTGTAGATCATAATAATAAAAAAACTCTCAGACGTGGGCCATGGAAAGTGGTGGAACATCACTCTTGCTTCAAGATGGCTTCACAAGAAATTTTTGAAAAGCCGTTCGGGCCAGTTGTCACACCAACCGGAAGCCTTGGATCTCCGTCTCTTAAGTATCTAACGGTCATCAGACAAATCTCCTCATGAATGCAATGGCATGATGGTAATATTTATGGAATGCGAGCCTTCTTGTCAAAAATTGAAAACGGGCGGCAAATGGGACCGTTTAACTAACGGGGTTTAGAAGAGACGGCCTCCATCTCATCTTCGTTTGCTCTCCATGCAGTAACATTAACCGTGGTTTACATACATTGGTTAACCGCCTCTGCCCAAAGAGCCCTTACCGGTCCTCTATAAAGCACGACGGCTGGCCGGATACGGGGGGCAGCGGAAGGCGTCTTCGTAAACGCCGAACCCTAGTTCCTCTCTAACCCTCTTCATTCTTCTCTAGTTCTTCGAGATTTTTCTTTCTCCGTTCGGAAATGAGGGAGTGCATTTCGATCCACATCGGCCAGGCCGGCATTCAGGTCGGAAATTCCCTCGAGCATGGCCTCCAGGTACGTTTCCATCCAAAGATCATAAACCATTTCATTATTTTTGTTTAAAATTTTAAAGATTATATGCCTCTTCACTCCTCAGACATGTGTAATCGCCATTTTTTGTCCTTAGAATGATAGATCGCTTTCCTATTCTGTTTGGATTATCCAATTTGGATAATTAAGCATTAGTTCTTCTTTTATTTGAATTACGTGACGATCTATGCCGATTTGGAACCGAAGGTGCAGATCTTCTTCTCAATGCTAGATCTCCATTTCCGGATGACTGGTGTTTTGTTTGAATATTACATATTGACCAGTATGTTTTTCAATGTTTCTGGTGGCATTCAGAACAGAGAAACTGGTTTACTGCGTTTGTCAACTTGTCTCGTCTGGTTTAATACCATAGGTGATATTTGTCCTTAATTGAACTTTCTTCCTAATGCTATATTTACTTTCTTTGTTCGTAGATCTATGGATAATATGTTCGTCTCTGTTTGTAGATCTATGGATCTTTTATGTCTTATTGTCTGTAGTTTAATCTCCATGGAATGCATTAAAAATGCTCCCATTGGTTCATGAGATCTTTCTTTTTTGAATGCAGATCTTTCTGACTGTTACTAATGGCACCTACATCGCATTCCCTTTTATTTTTCCTAGATCTAATTGGACCGATTTTCTTTTTTTTCCCGTTAGCGTAATTTTCATACAAAGAGTTTTCTATTTTTTAACTAGATTTTTTACGTCAATTGTCTTTGATGGTTGATTGTGATCCAAACTTGATTCGTCCTGCATATTTTGAACATTTTGATTATTTTTGGTTGTGATGGAAAATTTATCGTTTGATTGTTAAACCAATGGATTTAACTTTCTTGTGCACGAATCCATACATTTTTCAGTACATAGTTTCTACCTACCCACTACAATTCACGAATCTGAGGCAAAATCTCTAATGTATGTGGCATTTGGTTATCTCAGCCTGATGGCCAGATGCCGAGTGACAAGACAGTTGGCGGCGGCGATGATGCTTTTAACACCTTCTTCAGCGAGACAGGTTCTGGAAAGCATGTCCCTCGTGCTGTTTTTGTGGATCTCGAGCCTACTGTTATTGATGAGGTAAGGACTGGCACCTACCGCCAGCTCTTCCACCCCGAGCAGCTTATCAGTGGCAAGGAAGACGCTGCGAACAACTTTGCTCGTGGCCATTATACAAGTACTTACCTCAATGTCCATTCTCTACATTTTTTATCAGGTCATAAGCTAGTTTCATGACCAGTTACTAAAGCTTCTTATTCTTGTGATTGCAGTCGGCAAAGAGATTGTTGATCTATGCCTTGATCGAATCAGGAAGCTTGCTGATAACTGCACTGGTCTTCAAGGCTTTCTGGTTTTCAATGCTGTAGGTGGAGGGACTGGTTCTGGCCTTGGTTCCCTCCTCCTTGAGAGACTATCTGTTGATTATGGCAAAAAATCAAAGCTTGGTTTTACCGTTTACCCATCGCCCCAGGTGTCCACATCAGTTGTTGAGCCTTACAACAGCGTCCTCTCCACACACTCCCTTCTAGAGCACACTGATGTTGCCGTCCTCCTAGATAATGAAGCAATATATGACATCTGCAGGCGTTCTCTTGACATTGAGCGCCCAACATACACCAACCTTAATCGCCTGGTTTCCCAGGTGATAAACTCCTCCATTTTCCCTTGTTTCTGCTAACCCCACATTGCCTTGATTTTGATTTTAGTTGAATCTATGCAATGTGTCCAGGTGATTTCATCCCTCACTGCCTCCCTCAGGTTTGATGGCGCATTGAACGTGGATGTGACTGAGTTCCAAACTAACCTTGTTCCATACCCACGGATCCATTTCATGCTTTCATCATACGCTCCAGTTATCTCAGCTGAGAAAGCCTATCACGAGCAACTCTCTGTTGCCGAAATCACCAACAGTGCCTTTGAGCCATCCTCCATGATGGCCAAGTGTGATCCTCGCCATGGCAAGTACATGGCTTGTTGTCTCATGTATCGAGGAGATGTGGTGCCTAAGGATGTAAATGCTGCTGTTGCTACTATTAAGACCAAGCGCACCATCCAGTTTGTTGACTGGTGCCCTACTGGCTTTAAGTGTGGCATTAATTACCAGCCCCCTACAGTTGTTCCTGGTGGCGATCTTGCCAAGGTGCAGCGGGCGGTTTGCATGATATCTAACTCCACGAGCGTTGCAGAGGTGTTCTCTCGCATCGATCATAAGTTTGATCTTATGTATTCGAAGCGTGCTTTTGTGCATTGGTATGTTGGCGAGGGCATGGAGGAGGGAGAGTTCTCTGAGGCTCGTGAGGATCTTGCTGCGCTCGAGAAAGATTATGAGGAAGTAGGTGCTGAATCTACTGAAGGTGACGAGGGTGATGAGGGTGATGATTATTAAGTTTGTGAAGGTTCATTTTGTTTCTTTAACTGCTTGTGGTCTGATTTCCTGGTGGGTGTTTGCTTTAGGTTTTTTATCGTTTGTTATTTCTTACAAAGATGTCTTTTATCTCTAATGGTGCTGTTTTTTACAGCATTGTCTTCCCAACTTCGGTGTTGCGTATTTCTGCTATGCTATGAGCTTTCTTCATTTCTAGTAAAGAATGAGCTTTCTGAAGTTTTTTTTTTTTGAGGGTTTAGAAAATGCTTCTTTGTATTGGGTCTTTTTTTTTCATCTGTTGCGACCAGTCCCTTAAATTACAGCGTTCAGTTCAGTTCGGTTTTTCATGCTCTGTTCTGTGATGAATCTACGCTAAGTTTAGATGTTGGATAGACAATTAATTACTTATATTTTGAGTGAGATTCATCACTAATACTGGCTTTCGAATTTACAGAAGTGAAAGAACCCTCAATTTTCCTGTGTGAAACAGAATTGTAATTCGGAATAAATGAATCAAACAACAAACAACCAAGGTCTTGTAAATTGCTTGATCTTCTTCTGTTTTCTGTTCTTCATCTCGATATTCTTCTTGTAATTGCGGCTTTTAATCAAAAGACACTGGTGGGAGAGCATAGTGGTGGGTACAGTAGAATTGGAGCACGCCATTATAGTGCATTTTGACGCCTCAATAAGCATATATGTTTGAGCGAGACGAGAATTTAGAGGCTGGCTGGTGAGACCGTATGGCAATATTTGAGCAGGATTGAACCTAAAAAATCATGCCAAACAGCAAAAATGCCATCTTTCTCAATGGTTTGTCATCTCCTCAATGGTTTTGAATAATTGGAAGTTCTGGACGTTGGCAAGGGTTTCAGGCGAGGGGAAGGTTTTGAATGTTTATGTAGGTAAAAAAACCCCTAGAAATTTTATTCTGAAAAGTGAGATATTAATACATGCTTGCTTCAAATGCATTGATAGCTTTTGCTGGATTAATTGATTTATAAAAGATCAATTACATGCTTGCTAAAAAATCATGCCAAACAGCAAAAATGCCATCTTTCTCAATGGTTTGTCATCTCTTCCTCAATGGTTTGTGGGTATGGTTTTGAATAATTGGAAGTTTTGGACGTTGGCAAGGGTTTCAGGCGAGGGGAAGGTTTTGAATGTTTATGTAGTAAAAAACCCCTAGAAATATTATTCTGAAAAGTGAGATATTAATACATGCTTGCTTCAAATGCATTGATAGCTTTTGCTGGATTAATTGATTTATAAAAGATCAATGCAATTTCAAAACTTGTTTCAAAAATACATGCTTGCTAAAAAATCATGCCAAACAGCAAAAATGCCATCTTTCTCAATGGTTTGTCATCTCTTCCTCAATGGTTTGTGGGTATGGTTTTGAATAATTGGAAGTTTTGGACGTTGGCAAGGGTTTCAGGCGAGGGGAAGGTTTTGAATGTTTATGTAGTAAAAAACCCCTAGAAATATTATTCTGAAAAGTGAGATATTAATACATGCTTGCTTCAAATGCATTGATAGCTTTTGCTGGATTAATTGATTTATAAAAGATCAATGCAATTTCAAAACTTGTTTCAAAAAATTTATATCCACATAATAATTGATAAGCTTTTGGATTAATAAACTTCCTTCCGAATGTAAATGGTGGCTTCCAAAAATTTTCTTTGAGGAATAATTGGAAAGAAGATTGGAGTGACGCCATGGATTCCCGCAAAATTGGTCTCAAGCATCGTCTCCGCCATTATTTGCCGCGCGTACGATTTTTTTAGCTTTATTTTAATTAATGACTAAGGGTCCAAGTCCCCATGATAGATGTCATAAAAATTCATTCGTTAACAAGTAATTACACCAATTCTATGCGTTTTGTGTAATTAGTATTACTAATGTTGGTGATTCAAAAGTAATTGCAATTTAGTGTAACATGTCATTATATTTGAAATTTAGCTTAATTATTTTTCTCTGAATTCAAAATTTGGTCAATTTAACTGAATTGAAAAAAAAAAAAAGTTTAGTGAACCTGCCGATTGCTGCCGCTCGTGTAAACACGCCGCTCGCCTGACAAATGGCTGCCGAAACCAACCGCCCATGCATGGAAAGTTGATAAGCTGAAGATGAAGACTTCATTCATACCAAATGAAGTTGCCATACTACCAACCGCCGGCTTGGAACAAGGGCCTTTTCTCTAATTTTTAGGCTTTTCTTTTTTTTTCTTACTTGGGATGCAATCGGGCTGCGTTCCACCGGACGCGAACCAAACCGTGGCCCTGATCACCCATAGCCTTCGTTCGCGACCTGAGGAAAGCCGTGCCCTGGCTTTCACGTTCATATCCCTCCTCTCGTATTCTCAGGTTTTCCTTCTTCATTAGCTCGGATTTACTGTATGGTTTATGCTGCTATTCTTTTGCTATTGTTTGTCCTGTTATTTTTTCCATTGCCCACAAATTCAGAGTGGAGAGAATTGAGAAAACGTTGAGCTTCTCTGCCGTAAGATTTTATGTGACCTACAAATATAGAACAATAATTTTTATTTATATGTTCCCTACTTTGTTTTTTTCAATACATTACCAACAGTAGGGATGGTCTTCAGTAAGTAGGTGAATGTTTTTCCTTATTCTGCTTATGTATCTGTTGGTGTTTGGATATTATTTCTGCTCTCATTTTAAAGCATAAGGCCACACACATTGCTTTTACATTTAATAAGAATAAGAAAATTCTCATATTAAATTTCTGCGTAGAAGAGTATTTATTATCATAAATTATAAATCTTAAGATAAACCACATAGTTCTATTAAATATTAAAGAACTAGAGCTGCATGCAAACGTTTCTGGTGGAATCATACAGCAAGTCTTTCCTTCTCGCACTAAGTTATAGTTTTTTCATAATATTTTAATGAATTTCCAAAATTTATTTTATTTCATTTCCGCTAGCTGTTGCCACCAGCCATGCAACACTTTTTTAAGTTTTTGAATTAGAAGATTTACTTACATACCACTCAATTCTTGTGTATTTACATATCTAATGCCTAAACTTCAACTTTTACATTCACGCCAGCTTACCTATGCATGAAAATGTGTATTTCAGCTTTTAAAAGTTAAAATAGTGGTATTTTATAGGTGAGACAAATATTTGGGTGGTGTAAATATAAAAAGTAAAGTTTATGTGTAAATATGTAAATATATTAGAATTGGGTGCATCTTTTTAATTTAAGGCCACATGTAAATTTCATTTTAAAATCAAATCCGTATGTACGGACTCCACACCTAATAATTGCTCTTGACTGAGTAAAGTGTAGCATTATAGTTAAAGTATATTTGTACATTGTAAGTCTTTGCTCATCTTTGCTAATTCCTCTGTAAAAATGTTGTTTACAGGATTATTTTGTGTTATGTGCATTAGAAATTATTTATCTCAACTAAATCTCAAATGTCATCATAGTCTTACATGTTAACATAAGGTGGAGGATGTGTGCTAAGTATGCCAACTTGAGCTAAACATGTCATAGTGATAGCTTCCAACTTTCAAGGATTAATGTTCACGGTAAGCTTTACAAAAAGTTTTTTTATAAGGAGCTTTCTTAATTATTTATTTTGATAACCATCAAAATAATATATATTTGTTGATTAAGGAAAATCTTCATCACTAATTATAGATCGTTCTGTTAAAATGCTATGCATTTCAAATTGAAAACTGGTAAAGCAACTTACTAGTGATTAATAACCATCTTGAAGTAATAAATTTGATGAAACATTGAAGTAAATGTTGACAAATTGCCTATTAAAAGAAAATCTTTTGCTTTTTTTTTTTTGCTTATAATTTCATAGAACTCAATGAGATGTTTTTTATATTTACGAAGAATTATATAGTTTAGTCGACTCACATGTGTCTTCAATTCAAGTTTTAAGAAGTTTATGTGATTCCTTCTTAATAGAAATAAAATGAATATCAATAAAGTTGAAGTAATTTTAGAGATATTATACTCAAGAATAGCAACAGAGAGCTTCTATATATGTGCTAAAAGCTACAATTAAACGAAGATTGGAGCTATTGAAGAATTTTTGTACTTTTTATATAACATCATGTTTATATCATTAAAAATGAGGGATTCATTTTTTTTTATGTCTTAGGATTTATTGAAGGAATGGCTCCTTGGCATCCACCACCACCAAAGCATAGGCGTATTTAACCTTCGATCTTGGAGCCTAGTAATGTATGGTATATATAAGTTAGATAATGGAGGACATGTTCGACATTACTCTCGGTCTCCACTTCAGCCTCGTGGAAGAAGCCGTTCGAAACATGACAAGCAGGGATTAACAGATCAAGGGGCGTCGGCCAAGAAGGCGCTGGAGAACGAATTCCGAAAGGCTACAGATTGTATGGAGTTTTGCCGGCAGCAAACCAACCCTATGGATGAAATTGGGGTTGAAGACACAAAGTTGGTGGATGAGGATCTTTATGATCCAATTGATGAAGATGGAAAGCTTGAAGTTATGATTTATGCTACAGGTGTGGATGGGGAGGATACGCATATACACGATGGGATCATCCCACTGTCATGCACTTCAGATGTTCCAGATAATGCTCCTTTGTTTCACGTGCTTGCAGCGTGGAGTTCATCGCTGAATTACAAAGGCAGAATACCACCCTTTCTAATAACACTCGGTCTGATATGGTTAAGACCAATGTGGAATCTCAGAGACCCATGTTGGGAACTTCTTTCTAACCAACCCGTGACAGGCAAGGAGGTGCAGCCAGCAATGCTAACAGAAATATTCATTTGGCAGAGGGATGCTTGGACTAAGCCTGATCACATACAAGTTTCGGTGGTAGAGAATTTCAAAGACTACGCACATGAAGGTGGGGCGGTTAATCCCATTTTGGAGAACGTACAACAAAATATGAAAAAGCATAATAATGCTATTGTGGGCAAATTGATCGGAAGAAACTTTACTTATTCAGTTCTTAATATTGAGCTCAGCTGGAAGTGGGCACAATTTGGTTTTTTGAAATTTGTTGCTCTCTCTAATGAATGTTTCTGATGCATCTTTGAGACTAGCGAGGCGAGAAATGCGGTTCTTACCAGAGGACCCTGGTTCGTTGCAGGAACCATCGTTGGCCATGACATTTGGAGACCAAACTTTTCTCCTGAATCGTTACAAGGATTTTTGGCTCTTTTGTGGATTAGTCTACCACTAGTGCCTATGTTATATTGGGATAATGCCGATGTTGTTCGTATAGCTGGTATGGTGGGACAACCCTTGTGGATCGCTCGTGTTTGTGTTAGAGTGGATCTTTGATGCAAATTATTGACAGGGAATTGAATTAATGTTATCCATGACAAGCTTCTTCAGCGATTTGAGTATGAAGGATCGTCGCTGTTGTGAGATATGTATTTCTTGACATAGAAATGAAACACAAAGAACACAAGCAAACACAGATCGTTTACATGGTTCGATCCAACTGGATCTATGTCCTGTCCACGGGAGGCGGGAGGGAATCAATCAAATAGTTCACTAAGACAAAAGAAATAGAGAATACATAGCTTATACATAGAGATGTGTCATTATCTTTCTTCTATGACCTCCCTCTCAAGCGACACCTTGATACAAGGCCTCAAGATGCTCTCCTCCTCTCTAATTCTCTAGCTATTCTCTCCTCCTTTGTGGTATGTGGTATTTGTGGTAACTTAAGATCTCTTCCCTTGCTCTCTAAGCCACACACTCTCTCTATTTATACAAATCAAGAGAGTGGTACGTGGAAGGTAGGTGAGATGTGGTAGGTGAGAGGTACCACATTACAAAAGTTCCCTTTTACCTTAGTTCAATAATTGGGGGTCAAAATAACAATTCTCCACCTTGACCCTCAATTGAGAAGCTTCGAAGTAAATATTCCCTCCACCTGGCTCCTGAGGGGTCCTCAACCCTTGCTTGAGTTTGTTAAGTCTAAACAGTACATGGACTTAGCAATCACGGTTCTTCCGATAAGAGAGTATAGCCTCTTTTTCCCCTCCTTGTATGACGACACGAGGGTCTTTGATTACTCTGATGTAGTCATTCTTTGCCTTGAACGAGCATCCGCTTGACTTCAGCGTACCTAAAGAAATTAGATTTCTTTTGAGCTCTGGTACGTACCTAACATTTTTCAGTAGTCGTTCAACTCCATCAAATATCATTATCCTGATTGATCCACTTCCAACAACCCTATGAGCTTTATTGTCTCTCAGTAGAACAGACCCTTCATTTTCCCGTTCATTTTCCCGTTATAGTGTCTCAAACCAGTCTTTGTGAGGACACATGTGGAAAGAACACCCTGAGTCGAGGATCCACTTCTTACTGGATTCAGATTCTGTGATCACCAGGGCCTCAGTAGAATCATAGTCATTAGAGGCTACGCTTGCTTCTCCTAATTATTTTGGCTCTTCTTAGTACTTGTTCTTCCTGTCTGGGCAGTTCCTCTTGAAATGACTGTCCTTGTGACAGTGTCTTGTCCTTATCGTCCATCTTGAGGTCGATGTTCTCAAGGTCGTCGATGATCTTGTTGAACTCGTCGATCTGCTCTGAGACTGATTTGTCTTCATGCATTTTGAAGGAGTATAGGCCCTGCTTCAGAAAGAGCCTATTAGCTAGAAACTTTGTCAGGTAGAGTACCTCGAGTTTAGCCCAAAGTGCTTGAGCCGTTGCCTCGCTCGACACCTCCCTCAGAAATTTATCGCTCAAACTCAGGATTATCAAACTGTGGGCCTTGTCCAGTATGTCGATCATCTCTTTCTCGGTCATGTCGGCCGGCAATGCCGCCGACCCTTGCAAGACTTCTACAACACCCTGTTGAACCAAAAGAGCTCTCATCTTTACTCTCCATAGGTCGAAGTCGTTCTTCCTGTTGAATTTCTTAATGTCGAATTTGGCGGAACTCATTGCCGTGGCTAAGATTTCTTTCAATGGATTCTACCTGTTGTTCTTCCAAGAACTAGGCTGAAATCACCAAAATGTAATACTATTGTATAACAACCAAAAGTTTTTCAGCCTAAACCTTTATTTTAACGCCTTGTTGTCCAAGAAATTCTCACCAAATTTCTCACCTTCTCCCCGTGAACTCCACTGCCTTCGCCAACCTAACGGAGAGCTCTGATCCCTTCTGACAGAGATCACACCTGTTCACCGGAGAAAACTTCATGTTCTATGTGCACGCCTCCTTCCCGCAGGCACTCTTCTGTGTCTAGCGGAACAAATCAGGAATTTCTCCTCTGCCTCTTATACAAGAATAACTGTCTCTCCAGAGCCGTCGCGCCTCGCCAAACATCTCAGGCCCTCCTGCTTCGCGAACTCCCGAACAGGGAACTCCCCGAAACCTTCTCCGCGCGATCTCCGCCTCTTCGCTCTGGCCGAGCTGCTCGCAAGACCGAACTCCTGCTCCGAAATCCTCTGCCGGCAGCCCTGTCGCCAATTTTTTGCCCTCACTCGGACTGTTCCTCATTCGTTTCGCCGAACCGCACAACCTGCGGTGTGAATCCAGTCCATCAAAGCTTCCACTGCTCACCGAATCTGTCGCGATTCAGCTGCCTGCGACGCGATCCGCTTGCCACTTGCTCCTCTATTCGTGAATGTCAAACTTCTCTTCTTCGTCGCTGTCCGCGAACACCTTTATGCGGACACCTCTAGCCAAGAAGTATGAATCTTCCCACAGAATGCGCCAATTGTTGTGAGATATGTACTTCCTGACATAGAAATGAAACGCAAAGAACACAAACAAACACAGATCGTTTACGTGGTTTGATCTAACTGGATCTACGTACACGAGAGGGAATCAATAAAATAGTTCACTAAAGCAAAAGAAATAGAGAATACATAGCTTATACATAGAGATGAGCCCTCATCTTCCTTCTATGACCTCCCTCTCAAGCGACACCTTGATACAATGCCTCAAGATGCTCTCCTCATCTCTAGCTCTCTAGCTATTCTCTCCTCCTTTGTGGGAGCTTAAGATCTCTTCCCTTGCTCTCTAAGCCTCACACCCTCTCTATTTATACAAACTGAGAGAGTGGTAGGTGGGAGGTAGGTGAGCGGTAGATGAGATGTGGTAGGTGAGCGGTACCACATTACAAAAGTGTCCTTTTACCTTAATTCAATAATTGAGGGTCAAAATAACAGTCGCATTTAGCTTTAACTGTGGCAAGATTGGACACAAGATTCCCCAATACAAAGAAGCTCTCTCGCTGATGAATTTAGGAAAGCTCCAAAAGAGTAATATGTCAACCATGTGTTAAAAAGGTGCTTCGGGTGCCGGGTAAAGTAATCAAAATTTCGTGGAGGATGCTCCACTAACAGGGAAGTCGAAGGACGCTAATTCTGATAAGGCCCAAGTCTAATAGTAACGGCAATCCCCTAGACGGAGCAAAAAATAGAGATGATGAATTTGGAGGCACGGTTCAACACGAAGCTAATGAGGAGGATTGAATTTATGTTGGCCCTTGGTCTGTGGTCATGAAAAATTGGAGGAAAATACTGAAAAAACAACCAGCTATTGAGGCAGGTAAGCCACGCCATCCTATGGTCACAAAGGAGGGAGGGATCTCCTCTAAGAAAAACACTCGAGCTACCTGTACTCTCCAAAATCGACCACAAGAATTATTTAATTTTATCTCCCTACAAGGTGTTGTCTGGGTCCACTCCTCTGCATTCTGAATCTGTTCACAAGGTACCAAAGGAAAGGATCTCGAGGGCCCATTTTGAGAACCAGCTGCTCCAGTTGGGGGTCAATGGAAGGTCAGCGGAGAAAACGTAAGAAAGTTGTGGGTGACTTTTGTAATTTAGGGTTTGTTTGGGGTAGCTGCAACTTATCCAGCTTATGCTAATAAGCAATTTATCCTGATAATCTGCTGATGACCAGCTGATCCGGATAAAGTGACTGATTGTTTGGTTAGTATATTTTGAGAACAGGTGATTCTGGATAAATGACCAATCTGCCCCTGTTATTGATAAGCTGTTTAGCTGTTTGGTTCCTTCATTTAGTAAACAGCTTATTTACAATTTTTTTTTTACAAATTTATCAATCTTCTTAATGCAATCATAAAAGGGAGATAACTGTGAAGATTGAAGAACATGAAAATACAAAATATTCTAAAATTTAAAGTTTAAATGGTAAGACATGAAAATACAAAATATTTATATTACTAAAATATTTCAGATCACATCACAGAAGCACAGTTACCTAAACAAAAGTGATACAACTTAACATACTAATATGTATTATAATGAGATCCAAAAAAGAAGAAAAAATAACATGTCAAAATTATAAGGAAAAAATTATAATGTTGACTTTAAAATATAGCAGCATATCACGACCCATTCTGCCCGGCTCTGACTCTCTAGAACCCTGAACAAACTTGTCCGACTGGAAAACCATAGAAATGTCTCAACTTCCAGGTATAAAACAGTAAACACACAACATATTGCTATTGTCACTTGCTTAAGCAAGAAAAAAATTCAGGTTTGGATCATATGCCCACTGGTCAGAACAATTGAAATGTCAAAGTGCAGCAGATACTTCTTATTTCATCTAAAAATTTTATTTTTACCATCCCACATATGTTAACATAAGACCCATATATAGCAACCTTGCACTATAATGAAAAATGCATATAGATCTTGCCATATAAGACTACATATAGATCAACATAAAAACTGCATATAGATCTTGCCATATCAGATATGGATGATGTTTCAAATTTTTAATAGCCTCAGCAAGAAACTGAAATTCCCCACCGAACAACAAATAATAAGTTAAAATTAGAGATCAATCATATGGAACACAATCTCACTGTAACGTGAAGAGATCAGCGTTAGATCTATATTCTAGAAATATAACAGAGGAATAAAGAGAGCGAGGACCATTACAAACAGTGAAATCACAATCTCGATTCTTCATATATTTCAGAAGAAAAGTGGATCTAGATTTTCATTATAAATACTCATCTCCCAACAACTAGATCTAGGCTTTTAGCCACTAAACACCTTCACATTCATCGAAAATTTCAACAGAT